CTTTGCATGTCATTCTTCTGGAGGTGTTTCATTGTGATGACAATCTGTTTGTTGGAAAGACAGTCGTTGTGTGCTTATTGAGAGAAAATTGTTAGAAGAGATCATTATTCAAAGTGTTGTTACTTTAAAGTGTTGTTACTGACCTTTTTCTCTTTTATTTTCTTTACCTCACCTGGAACTGCTGAGACGTTGAGGAACATGCACACTGACCTGCTCTGGCAACCTGATTTCCACTGTACGTAATAGTATTTGGTTATGGTATATTATTTATATACATCAAAGGCACAATGCACCCCCCAGAGACACACATGTATTGAGTGTGATATGTTGCATAGGTCATGTGAAATCATCTTTACATACTAGAAAACTGTAGGAGCGGCAACTTGTTTTGAAATTGAATTTTTAATATCCGATAATAAAGTTGATCTGTTTTCTTTATTCTTCTCTCTTCCCAGCTCCATCACCATTCTCTGTTCCTGCAGGTCCTGCTTGCTAATCAATGCTCATATTTTTTTACACAATTAAAAATAAAGTCAATGTATTGTATGACATGAAGTTGTGCTTCATTCGGAGTCAATAATAAATTAATTCTGCCTTCAACTGCGCAATGATTGTGGACTGCACCGACATCCATGTAGCTGCCCCCCAGTAAGATGAACCAAGCAAAGAGGGTCACCATCATGCCCAAGGACATCCAGCTGGCCCGCCGCATCCGCGGAGAGAGGGCTTAGACTGACCTGAGACCAGCACACCCAAACACAACGGCTCTTTTAAGAGCCACCTACATTTTCAAAGAGTTGCAATCCTACGTTATTATAATGATTAAACTGTTTCATGTATCACTTAGTTTACTGAACCGTGATGAATGAAAGAAATTAGTGAGGTAGTGGTTTACTGAAGTTACAAAGACATTAATATATGAGTAACAGGTCAGTGTAAACACAAGCTTCTGTCAATTATGGATCATTCAAACTATTTATATAAAAATATGTAATAAAGTTCTAAAACAAGTATTCGGTATATTCCTTGATAGCTTTTGGAGAAGGTTGTTTTTAAGTTTACTAAAATCTATCGTTTCAACTGTTTCACTTTATAAAAAGGGAACAGGTGAGTAGAGCATCATTGAGTTTCTTATTCTGTCAGTAAATTATCCAAATGAATGTTTTTCATTATTTTAGTCAACCATAAACAAATTGATTGTACCTTTTAATGATGACCTTACATGGTCGGCAAAGTTAAATTAACTTCATAAAATCAAATCTGTTCTGAGAAAAAACTAATAAATGTTTAAAGATAGGAACTTGCCATCCCACTGAAAAACAGTCCGTAGAGATTTAAAGGCGTAGTTGTAGTTCAGTCCAACGTTTCATTTGGATTCATTTGACAACAGTCAACTCTTTTCATAAAGAATATATATATTTTTCAAAGTCAACTTTATTGTCAATCTTACTCAGTTTGAGAGATCAAAAAGACGTTTAAATAAAATTATACAATTTACAGATATGTATACAAATATATATATATCCTATATACACCATCATGTATAATGATGGTGTATGATGTAGAAGGAAGTGTGGTAGATAACAAGTAAATATAGAGTTACATACAGATCCATGTTACAGCAAAAGATGGAATAACTAAGAAGCACACAGTATAATAATAATTACATGCAACAATTAAATAACTGCTCAGCATCTCCACCACAATCCCAATCTGCTGTGTCCTGTTTTCCTCCCCTCTGCATAACACCCCATCACACATACGAAATACAACGCAGAGTCCGAGGGTGTTAAGAGTATGTTTATTGAAATGTCCTCCTCTCTACTGGCCAACACAGGGAGCATATGCTGGGTGTAGAATTGTTCCAGGAGGAGGAGATTTCCATGCCATGCAGGGTCTTTGGGGATGGGGATGATGATCGCCTCCTTCGTGGTCCACACAACAAAGTAGCAGAGACTCCGGTCTGTGATATGCAGCTGCCCTTGGACCTGTTGCCAGTATGGGTGATTCTCCTTGAGAATATATGACCCACCCTCCTCACGGAGACAGAAGGATGGTAACTGGACTGCCTCCGCGATGGTCATGTTCCTCTGGCTGTGTGGACACTTCACCTCCAGCAGGGCAGATGGCTGCACAAGTCCATCGGGTGATGCTCCCAAAACACCCGACTCACTCACAAAGAGACCAGACTCGATTCGAACACTGTCACTTGATGCCTCCACAAAAGCCTTCACCCCTTCGGCCTCGTTTACAACCCCCCAGTTGACAGTTGGCGATGTCTCTGGCCAGTGGGTTGTATGTCTCCTCTCGCTGTTGGTAAAGTTGAGACACCGGCTGGACTACTTTGGAAGTGCCAGGCTTCCTCCACTGGCACTCAACATCTGTGGAGCTGATCTGCCACATGGAAAATATTGCCAATGCTGCAGCGTGGCTGCATTTGTACATCTCCTGTGCACAATCACAGACAGCGCTCTGCATCGCGCCATCGTCTCCCATGCAGATCTGTAAAAATAAAGTAAGTACCATTTGTTAGCATGCTATAATAGATTGAATGAGCAATAATACAAGGATGGTCCGGATCTGGGGGTGGGAGGGTTTATTTTTCCATAGTTTTGTCCTCTTGTCTGTTGTTATTGTTTGTTTTTTCTGTATTTTTTGTAATTTGTGATGTATTGGTTATGATTGTACATTGTATTTTTCTAAATGTGTATGAATACATTTTTAAAAAACATTTGATCAACAATAAAAAAGGATTTGGTCAGGATCTAGACTCAGTGTGTAGTTTATTAATTAATCAATGCTCTCTACATTAGGAAAACACATACCGGTGTACCAGAGGGAGTCACACACAGCTGTGCCTAGATAACCAAAATCCTTGAATCGACACACAGCAAATAAACTCAAATGACACAACGACAAAAAGGAGATCACACATACAGTATAGTCGATATAAAACTGGCCGCTTCAATCTGAAGAGCAACTAAAACAAAACACGGGAGTGTACCTTGTTCTTGTGAACACTAATGTTATCCACAGCATACACAGAGACCACGAAGTTCTTAAGGAGAAAACTAGTTGTTAAAACAAAACACGTTAGTGTACCTTGTTAGCTAATGTTAGCTAGCTGACATTAACGTTACACATCGCACTCATATTACTCACCGAAACCTTGTAAAGCCGGTCCCGCATGCTGGCTCTTACAGAACCGACTAACTCCCCTTTCAGATAGGTACAGCTCTCAACATGCCCAGACTTGTAGTGATTTTCACCTCGTAAAATACTTTTATTCTCATTCTGAAAGAATGTGGTGAAATGTGCTAACGTGACGGCCATCTTTATGTTGGTGACGCGTATTGTGCGAGACGAGAGACCTGTAGTTCACTGAGCGGTTTCACACGAAAAAATGTGTAACTTCACAGTTTTACGACACATTTTTATTTTTTTGACTTGCAAAATGTTCTTTTAAATTGACAAACATCATATGTGTCATTCGTGGCACAATTCAAACGGGATCAAAAGATAACCTTTCTCTCTCCATTGACTTCAATGTATAATTTTCCGCTTCCGGGGTCCCATGGAGGCTTTCGGAAGGGGAGGGACTTCGCCTCTAGTTAGGTGCGCGTTCACATAAAAGGGGTGGTATCTGGAGCATTCGACCAATCACAAACATGGAGAAGCGTACTGACAGCGCAGCGTCATACTTCCTGAATGAAAAGTGAACTTTAATAGGCCTACTAGTCAAAAATGAAGAAGTTAAACTTTAAACATCCATGACTTAAACACTTTATCCAGGATAAAAGCCACATAGTCTGCACCTGCAAGGTGAATACAGCTGGCAAAAGAAAAAGTGTTTGAATGCGTACATTAACAGGTTTATGATATCACTGCCCCGTCTAAAACACGATCAGACTTTAATTACATTTGTCTCGAGTGTTTCGTCAACTTAATGTGTTGCTTAAAATAATACTTCTGCATACAGTATGTGACACAGTGAGTGTTACACGGCCAGATAACCTGGTCCCGACCAGGTTAGCCGCTAAGCATAAGTTACCATGGAGATCTAGCCTGCTAAAAAGAGAACCAGCTTCGTAGGACCGGAAAGCCGGAGTTTCCCCTGAATTTAGCCGGCTAAGCGAAAAATCCTGCTTCGTAGTATACCCCCCAGGACAAACCACTTGGCCAGTTATATTTTGTTCAGTTGGGTTGCTTAAGAGTTGTTCTTAGACAAAGTTGTGCTAATGCGTAGAGGCAGTTGATAAGAATGTATCAATTCACTTTTTTTGACATACTATGAGATTTTCTCAAAAATGTACCATGACTTAACTTAACTTTTTTCGACATACTATCAACACTTTTTAAAATGCATTGAACTGACTGTATGATTACCTTCTGTTATTTTCAACATACTTTCTCCGCAGACCAGGAACAAACTTGCTTTTAAATCGAAGCTTAAAACCTTTGCCTTTAATGCTGCTTTTCAAGATGACATTTAACTTTTTTTTTATAATTTCACCTACATACCTTTTCAGCAGTATTTACAATGCATATTATTCTTTAACCAATTTATATCTTTAAATTACATTTTTTGTTCAATTTATTTAGTTTTTCATGTGTTAATGCATATATAATCCACTTTGAATTTCCTTTGTCGGAAATCTACTATATAAATGAACGAACTAATTTACTATGACTAATATTTTTCACAATATACTATGATTTTCATATTATGGTATTACCTACAATGATTCATAAAAAGTTGATAAACATATGTTTAATAAAGTTTGAACATAACTATATTTGGGATTAAAAAAAAGCCCTAATAAACACAGGTGAGTAGGGGAAGTGGTTTGATTTGTAGGAACTTTCAACCTTTTGAGATGCAGTTTATCAGGAGTGTTCCACAAATCACCACTGGGTGGCAGTGTTGACTAAAGCGAGAATATAAATCAGATTTCTTCGTTGCCGTATTTAATCCTACCAGTCTTCAAACAAAACATGTAAACAGTTAAAGACAAAAATGTTTATTACACCTTTTTTTTCTACAGACAAAACATTTTAGATTAGAAAATATTCAATTAAAAATGACCACTATCCATCTACTTGGTCAACAAATATCACAATAAAACATTTTCATACAACAGATGCATATTAACAAAAGACTACAATAAACTACCTCCTATGTTTAACCATAGTATTTGAAAAAAGGGAAAGTCAAGGCAGCTATTTTACAAAACAGAATTGAGGCACCAAGGGCATTTCTTATATATAGTCTAGAATATATAGGAGTCTAGAAATTATCTGTAGCCTACTTAACTTACAATACAGTAATTCAGAAGTGTGTTACAGAGCGGCTTGGTGTCCAAGGGTGCACATATTTTGCGACTCGGAAAAGCGTAAGTTGCACCTTTGGTCCATTGGAAGAGTTCGAGTAGGGGGGAACCCTGTGACCCCTGTAAAAGGGTTGAGATCAGAAAAGAAGCCAGATCCCAACGTCTACCTCACAGACTTTAACACTTATTTGTGATAAGCGGTATGCTTTTTCATTGTGAAATCCACAAGGGATATAGAGCGGACACTTTTTACTCTGCTTTAGTTAATTAACCTCAATTTATAGGGCAGTAATGTAAAGAGAGGACCAGGAAAATACTGAAATATTCAAATGTACAAACTTTGAAGCAAGCAAGAGCAGCACCATCCAGTTTTTTGTCCCATTGAGAGCCTGACAGTTTTGATTGGTTTTTGCCTGATTTCCTGGAACATACTATATTAATATACAGCCTATTGTTTTGAGCCGTTATACCTTCCAGTGTTAAAGTCTGTGAGGTGTGAGAGCTCCAGTCGGACGTTGGGAGCGTCTATGAAGAGGCTCTCTTCTCTTCGTACGGGGACTCGTAGGCCTCCATGGGGGGGCAGGTGCATACGAGGTGCTGGTCGCCGTAGATTTCGTCAATCCTGGAGATGCTCGGCCAGAATTTGGTCTCTGGCCTAATGAAGGGCTGAAAAGGGAGAAGGGAAGGTTTATTGTGAGAACAATTGTAATTTATTGGGGCTTAATAATGGATGCCGATACTACTAAAACTAAGTGATTCACTTCAAGTCATTTAAAAATAGATACATTAATTCAATTGAAATTAAAAAATTAAAAAGTAAATCAATCCAACTAAATGGTTGTGAAGGTGGGCTGTGAAATAAAAAAGAAATGTCTTAATCTGTGCCGACAAAGGTTTCTCTTTACCCATATTATCTAATGAATACATATGGGTGGTTTAATGTTTGTTTAAAGAACAAATTAAAAAGTTCGGAACAACACCTGAATAAACCTTTAAGATGGAAAATAATTCAATTACTTAAACTAGTTTCAATCAAATATTTGTACACTAGATTAAAATGCTGCAGCTTTTGGAGGCTGTTAACAGAATAAAACAACCCATAGATGAAACAGTTAATTGAAGCGTTTCCCGTTGCTACAAAAAAACTAAAACATTTTCCTCTAGGTTTTAAAGCTATTGTTATATACAATCCTGACCACTAGAGGTCGACACAGTCAACAAATTATCATCAGCACTTAAGAAAGTTGAGTGTGTAATGAAGCTGCAGGAATGAGTGCACTCACCAAGGGGAAGGCAGCGTGCTCCCTGGTGTAGGGTCTGTCCCAGTTGGAGGATGAGATGCAGGCCAGAGAGTGAGGGGCCATCTGCAAACACAGAGGTCTTTCTGTCAGCTGATGGAAGGACTCTTTCACCTCAAACTAAAGAGACAAATGAAGGCTACCACAGTGTACCTTGAGCGGGTTGATGCGGGAGTCCATCCTTCCCTCCTCGATGTCTGCGATCTCCTGTCGGATACCGAGCAGCGCGTCACAGTACCGGTCCATCTCAGCCTTGTCCTCTGACTCCGTGGGCTCGATCATCAGGGTCCCAGCCACCGGCCAGGACATGGTGGGCGCATGGAAACCTGAACACCAGAACGAAATAAAACTACATTAATTCATAAAAAATCTCACGTACAATTCCACAGGTTGCTAAACATGCATCTCAGTATTATAAAGTATCATTTAACTGTGCCTCTGGCTATGTATGTTTATGGACAATTATTTTTTGGTTCGGCCTTATGATGGCTAAAATTTGATGACCATTTTAGTTTTCATTTCATATAGCATGGTAAATTGCTATGAAATGATGAGCTGTTTTGTTTTATGTATGTTTGACAGTGTGTGTGTGAGGACCCCAGGAAGAATAGCCAATGCTCATGCTAGTGCTAATGGGGATCCCAATAAAGAATCAACTTCTCTTGGTTTTAATAAATCAAAGAAAGTGTATGATCCTGTTTATTCAAAGGCAAAACAAAAAGTGCTTCTACATAATTACATTTTAATTGAGGACTGTATATAATTCAGCCTACCATAATCTTGCAGCCTCTTGGCCACATCAACAGCTTCAATGTTGGCCGTCTTCTTGAATGGCCTCACATCTAGAATGAACTCATGGGCTACAAAACCTGTTCAAAACCCAAGAAGGAACATTTTAAAAAGTGACATAAGATTTGTTTTTCTTTGAAAATTGATTTGCAGTGATTCGGTGAACATGCTTCTCCCAGTAGTACCTTTGCTGCCTCTGAAGAGGATCTTATAGTGTTCTTCCAGCCTCTTGGCCATGTAGTTGGCGTTGAGGATGGCCACCTCTGAAGCATGAACCAGTCCTTTGGATCCCATCATCTAAACACAGAACGCAGGAGTGCTGTTAGTGTTTGTTCACATGAAGAGTTTTATTTAAAACTATAATATTGGGTTAAAAAGAACACAATGGTGCTCTATGAGGAGATTCAGGTGATAAGGTGGGGGGGGGGGGGGGGTTACCTTGGTTGGTGATTGGCTAATGGTTACACAGCCAAAACAATCATTATGACATCATAAAGTGGCCAAAATCTGGTCAGCTCATTTTCAGACAGGTTTTTATATAAATGGATCAGGACAAAAAGAGAGGTCTTTGTTCCTGAAACTTTCAGAATCTCTTTACAAAGAGGAGACACATGTTTATGTGTAAAAGACATGAAAAAGTGGATTTTGCATAATAGGTGACCTTTAAACTATTCACATATAAATAACTGTGCGTTTGGTTTAAGCTTTTGCCAAACGAGGTCACATGATGCTGCTAAGCCTGTCGCCTCGAGGAAAACATCTCCAGCTTTCCAATTGGTTCTTGCATCCAAATATTTCTCCGCCCCCCTCTGTCAGTGTTCTTTAGCTTCATTTTTTGTATACTTCATGTCTCGTGTCCTTCTTGCTTTCTGTGATCAAACTTTGTGAAACATTTTGAGTTGTTTTGTCAAGCTGGCATCTCTGGTTTCATGAGCTGACCTTGATGTAGGCCCAGGAGATGGGCAGGATGGCGCTGGAGCCCCAGGGCGCGGCGCTAATGGTGCCCAGCGAGCTCTCGTTGTTCGTTGAGTACATGGGAACCACCGGGTGGCTCGGGAGGAAGGGGGCGAGGTGGGACTTCCTGATAGAGAGGAGATGCATTTAATTAGAACAGACTGTGACAAATAAAATGTGATTCTGGTTGATGGTGATCAAAGCCTCTCATTGCTTTCACAGAATAAAACATGCAGGATTGGGCACAAACACTGAACTGGTAGACAGTACATTTAGCACCGTAGAATAAATGTAAGAATATTATTATACACGCAAATTAATGTATTATTTTCCACTTGACCCAGTAAATCTGGATTATAATCTTAAATTCAGACTCACACTCCAATTGGCCCCATGCCAGGTCCTCCTCCACCATGAGGGATGCAGAAGGTCTTGTGGAGGTTAAGATGAGACACGTCAGAGCCATAGTCTCCAGGACGACACAGGCCCACCTGGGAAACAGAGCGTGGAAGGAAAATTAACTGTGTGCAATATGGCCAAGAAATTCTTCCATAATGGTTACAGTTTCCACTTTCAAGTCAAATTACTGAATAGAAGAACAACACAAATGCTACTTTTACTACCAACCTTTGGCTAATTGTAAGTAGACATTTAGACAGATAATGCGGATGGTGGATATGTAAAAAAAGGTCTTAACTCAACTTTATTGACTGATACTATAGTATGCATCTTAAATCCAATCTCTTATGGAAACATTAGTTGACAACAAATAATAATATAATAACTATTTAAGCTAATTTAGGGCATACGTTTAACTTTTTGTATCTGACCCGACATTTATTTTTGATTATTTTGATCATAATTCACTAAGCACAAAGAAGGTCAAATAAAAAAGTTATCTTGCTATCTTAGATTTATCCTCATTTGATCTGAAAAAAAAGATCAGTAAGAGTAAGTAAGTGTGCATTATACAATTTGTAGGGGGCAGGTCTGCATGTCTGTCAGTGATTGGTTGAGGTGATATTAGCTTGAAAATCATAATCTGCATATTATAGAGTCCAAAGGTTATCTATTTACAGCATGATAACAGATACCTATTAACCTTCATTCTATTAGCCTTTAGTTTTCACTCTACGAAATGTAGACTCCAAAGAACAAACAAAAATATATTTTCATATTTCCTTTCTCACCTGGGCGTTCATGTTGGCACCATCCAGGTACACCTGGCCTCCGTTATTGTGAATAAGATCACATACGTCGCGGATCTTCTCCTCAAACACACCAAAGGTGGAAGGGTAGGTGATCATCATGGCGGCCAGATTCGCCTTGTGTTTATCCACCTGGAAGAGAGGACAGGGGAAACATCGTTGGTACTTATATTATATTGTTGACCCGTATCAATATCTCCTGGTGGTTTCTTATTTTTGCTTGAATTCAAACAGCCATGGTGATGTATAAACTATTTTTGTTATCCACAGAGTGAGTGAGCACTCCAATGCAGGATTGCAAAACCATAACTTGATCATTTAAAATGTAAAAACGTATCCTGACTAGTTAGTGTGACAGTTGACCCATATTGAGTTAGAAAAAAAAAAAGAAGGTATTTCAGAAATGTAGCACTACACTATTAATGCAAAGTTGGGCGACTCATAAACATTACTTTTATTTTCTGTCATAGACATTTACAAACGGTGCCTCGCAAACTTGTCTTAGCCTTTCTGTAATTAAAAGCCTCAACATGTTTTGATGAGATGTCACCAATGCAAACAGTCGGCTCTCACCAGAGCTGTGAGGTGTGCCATGTCGATGTTTCCGTCTCTGTCCACCTCCACCACCTGGACCTTCATGCCAGCCATCTGAGCGCTCGCTGGGTTGGTGCCGTGGGCGGACTTGGGGATCAGACACACCTGGACGTGGAAAAAAAGTAATTTAACAAGACATAAAGTTGGGACACATTTGCAGCCTGAATGCAAAGTATGCTTTTATCAGTGTATGTAAAAATAGATTTTTGATAAGTGATATTCAGGCTATGATTGCAGGATGACTCCTCAATATCAACTAACAGCAGGTAACATCATTCTTATATTAAGACTACAAGAGAGGAATAGTATTATAATGTATCTCATTAAGCGTGACTCATATTAAGCCAAAGTATTTACAGGAAATAAATACATATGTTGTTGTATTATTGTTGTAATACTGTAAAATGAATATTAAGGCGAGACACCCCAGGTGAATAGGGTAATTTTTGTAACTTAAAAAGGTATCAGCTAGACATTTCTCCAGTTAATTACTTACAATAAAGCAATTGTTTTTTGTATTACAAGTTTTCTGAAATAGCATGTTTAAATATGCAAATTACCATTATCTCATTAAATATGCACATATTTTAACACATTTCAGGAACCTAAATCTGAACTTTGGATAAAGCCAGGTTCAAAATTCTTGTTTCATTTTGTAGTCATATTAGTATCTAAGGCTTTTACAGAAGGGATATTGGATATCTCTTTTTATCACTCCATAAATCAGAAAATACTGTCAACAGCCCTAAAATATCCATTTTCGCCATGTTTTTAGGTATACAATGTTGTATAATTCAGGCTATGAATGATATATGAACAAACCCTTCTGTAAAAGCCTTCATAATATTGATAGGAATATAACTGGAAGGTTTGGTGTATGTACGTGCTACTGAAGTTGACATTTCGAACTCAGAGTAGGAGAAAAAACTCATTTTGAGAAAACAACCTTTAAAGATTGCAGTGAGGCGCTAGCTAAACCCTCCTGTTCTTTGGATGACAGCTTGCGCCTCGACGCACTCCGTGAAGGTATTTCATGTTCAGGTCATTTGTGTTTTGTATAACCTTGCTTCGTGCAAGTGACAATTGTTGTCGTCTTCTCTGTGAACGTTTTCTTCGCCGTTCTTTTGCCATTTTGAAATTTCAATTTATAGCGGAAAGCTAACCAGGAAGTGTTTTAGCAGACCACGTGACGCATCTGAACGAATCACGTTCTCAGAAATTGACACCAGCCAATGAGATTTCGTTTCTTGGTTTAAGACCCCTTTGTGCTTTCACGATTGGTTGCTGATACAAAGAAAATTACCATATTTGGATCCGATGAGATTGTGCAGGAGAGACACAGCTTTCCAGCGATATCTCTGTTGACATGGTGCACACAGCGGTCGCGGAACTTTATGTTACGTTAGAATGCTAACTTTTGGTGAATTTAGGAGAAATCTACAGACGCAAATAGACAAACTATAGTAACATAAACACTTAAATGTGTATTTTGTACGTTTTCCTTCCAAAAGCCTGAAAGAAAACATGTTATAGAATCAAAATAGCACAAAATCTCAAAATTGACCAGTACTTGAAAAACGATGTTTTTGCCTGCCGTGTCTCGCCTTAAATGATCATTTCTTTGTACAAAAAGAGCAGGACTATTCATGGTTAAGGCTGTGTGGGAAATGTTGCAATGCTTGAATTAGCCAACACCCACCACTGACACTTATGTGTAAACAGGAACATTCTATTAAAGGTCAGGTCAGTAATTGATTTGTATCCCTTATTATGGCGACACTTCTGGAAACTGGGGCACTTAGACCTTTGGGTTTGATAACATTGACAAATGAGTGACTGGGAACACAAGGCCGAGCATGTCACACCAGTGTGTCGCAGTTCCCAAAGTCTTAAAACCTCCAAATATGGCATCTTGAGAGCAACTAGCCTATAGTGGGATCACAGCGTTTTCTGCCCCTTTGTTTGCTCAAACGGTTGTTACTTTGGACCTTGACAAGGGATCAGGCCACTATCTAAGATGTACTCACGAGGGAGCAGTTCAAAAACAAAGGCCAATTTACAGTGAAGAAAATATACTTCAGTCAGCCAGTCTTTAATCTGAGGAGTGTGTCTTACTGTATCTCTCCTTGTCCTCCAGATCCTGCCAATCAGAAAGTCAGGATACTGGAGGAATTTCTGAATACTTTAAACATGTTAATCTGTGGTGTCAAAGGGAAATGTCGTAACATGGGAACAATACCACTGTCAGGGACTTTGATAGGGCTTACAACCTGTGGCTCATGTACTTTTGCTCTTTATTAACCTCAGTCAGCATGATCAAAGGAACCATTGGTGATAAATCAATCTGAGATATCAGCGCTCTAACTACGGTCATAATGAAGGATCATTCATGTAAGAATAGCAATGACCTAATTGCTTTAGAAGTACTTAAATCTTCTGCTTTTTAATGTTATTTGGAATAAAAAGTTTGCATGCAAATTGAGGCTTAAAGGTAGGGTAGGTAAGAATGGAGAAACCAGCTCGAGTGCGCTAGAATTTGAAAGTACACAGCTGAAAAAAATCTGCCCCTTCCTTCAGACTTCCTTACAGAGCCCCTCCTCCAACACACACGAACGCGCACATGACCAATGAGGGCACGAGATAATTTGTGCACAGATGGAAGGCTGACAGGCAGGTAGGCCATACAGTTATTTTAGCCGGGCCGGCTAAAATGATTGGTCGTGCTTTTTACAGTACTAAGGCTTCCACAGATGACATTTTTTTATGTATTTATTGTCAAAGCATTTAATGTATTCATTGCTATCGGGGTGTAAGAGCATTCCATGGAATATAACAAAAAGTGTTTCTGAAGTGAATTACCTACCCCACCTTTAATAGAATGTTCCTGTCCCTTCGAGTTTAATGATCAGACTGATATCACTCGTTTATTTGCATTAACATTGAAGCTACAGCCAGCAGAGGGTTAGCTTATCTTAGCATAAAGTCTAATCACCCGGTCAAAGGTAACACAAACTGCCTACCAGCATCTTTACAGTTTATCTGCCTAATTAACTATTTATTAATAATTTGTTTAATCTTAATGATAAACTAAGATAACCGGCTGCTTACTTTAGTTTGCTCAAGCTTTGACAAAACGGAAAATTAGAGTATTTACCTAAATTTGCAAGCATATACCTAACTACTTATTTGTCTTTATTTTTAACTAGTATAACTAATGTGTCATTTTCTTCAATATATTAATATGTTAGCATATTCTGTATTATTGCAAGCCTTTGTTTTGCTGTAACAATGTACATTTCCCCGCTGTCCGACTAATAAACAATTTATAATTCTGGATTTCTGATTCATTTCTAGGTAGATAGATGTTTTGTAAATTGCTGTGGGATGCTGAATATGGCTTTGCTTGTAATGTATATCAATTCCTTGTAGTGCAGATCATCTGGACATTGAAGCTTAATTAAATCAATCAGCTTTGTTATAAGGTAGCAGAATTATATAAAAGCCTCCAGTGCTAATATATCCTAATTAACCTACACACAACACTTATTTATTCTGACGGTTTTATAGTATGAGTGCAGTCCACTCAGGCAGCACACTTACACTTCTTGAACGCTCCCCCTTTGAGTTCAGGTAGGCTTTTATGGCAGCCAAGCCAGCATATTCACCCTGAGCGCCACTGGAAGACAAGGAAACACAACATGGTTATGTACTACACACCTTCACATACACGCACAGTTCAAAGAGCAGTCTACAGACATTACCAAAAGGGGAGAAACCGATGGGATGTAAAGCTGTTTGATAATTCTGCAGGCCAATGTAGCATGATGTGTTGTTCATAAACCCTCTTCTGCTGATAAAGAGCTGATAGCATTTGACTACTACTGACTAAAGTCTGAAAACAGCTCCCAAGTCTTAGACACAGAGGATAACTCAAGGTTTCTCAATTCCAATAAGATCTCATTTTCACTTTCCTGCCCTCAGGGAGACTTTCGGTGAATGTTATATCACTCTTTGTCAAGCAATGGATGCAGAAATATTTGAAAAAATTGCGACTATTGTGTAAATTATGCATTCAAATACTATAACCCATAGTACAAATACTATAAGTTATAAGTCCCAAGACTTGTTATACTTCAAAATACAGTCTGATAGAGTAATTCTCATCACTTCAGGGGTTATATTTTTATGAAAGGGTAAAATGTACACTTTTAACAGGAAATGCCTTAAATGTGTTAAAGGGATAAGTGTGGTTCACTAAGGTCCATGGTAGGTGTATTATCTTAAGTAGATGACGCACAGCACAGCCCCCATTAAAAGAACCAGACAAGAGTATGGGCACGGTAGCAAAGCAAAGTACTTATTTTAGCCACCTTAAGAGAACCCTAAACCTACGGGGAACTAAGGCTGGTATAATCAATGTATGCTCTCACCAAGGCAACCAACTTTTGCGTGACTTTCATGATTCTTAACCAAGTGTTTATACACCAAAGTCCCACAATAAAAACAAACAACAAATACTGTGTCATCTGTTGTAAACATGTGTTTTGCCAATGGAGTCTGGTGGCTTAAAAGAGAGTACATGGATTATAACAGCGTCAGTTCCCCGTAGGAAAGGGCTGTCCAAAGGAAAGGTCGATCAGTGAAAACATTCTTTATCGAGCCAACAATTAAACCGATACTGATTTATTAAGTGGCAATAATACATTTTACTGCTGCCCCTTTCCATCCAACCAACATCTACTGTAGATCATACACGGAAGTGAGGTTTTATTAGGTACTTGACTATTAAAGTCAAAATATCTGAACCATCCCTTTAAATTATGTAAGGCAAGGCAAGTTTATTTATATAGCACCTTTCAACACGAGGCAATTCAAAGTGCTTTACAAAAAACGAAAGACATTAAGAAAATGGCATTTAAAATCAGTCATTAAAAATAAAAGCTAATAAAATAAACAGTAAAAGAAAAAATACATGGATAAAAGTTACAGTGCAGTCTAAGATATGAATAGTTCAATTAAAAGCAGCGACAAAAAGAAAAGTCTTCAGCCTGGATTTAAAAGTAGTCAGAGTTGCAGCGGACCTGCAGGTTTCTGGGAGTTTGTTCCAGATATTTGGAGCATAATAACTGAACGCTGCTTTACCATGTTTAGTTCTGACTCTGGGGACAGAAAGCTGACCAGTCCCTGAAGACCTGAGAGATCTGGATGGTTCATCATTTAGCAGGGGGTCAGAAATGTATTTTGGGCCTAAACCATTCACAGGGTTCTTACACCTTTTCCAAAGTCAAATTCAAGCACTTTTCAAGCATTTTCAAGGTGCATTTTCCAGCTTTTCAAGCATCTTACAGCTGTTGTAAATTACATATTTATATACACATACTCAATTGATTATTTCCCTACCTCACATTAAATCAGATGTTCTTTATGCTATAAACAACCAAATGTGTGTTTCGTGATAGCATTCTACTTGAGGATGACAAATTAAAGAAAAGAAAACTAAGTTTAATATTTCAAAATTAGTGATCTGTAGGCTACATATATATCTGAGCCAATATAAAACAATCAGCCAAATAACTTTTCAATACATTATTGATTACTATTTTTGAGGTACTTTTAGGTTGGCAGTAAACATAAGTCAGAGGTAAATGGTGTACTTTTGCTCCACTACATGTATTTAATACCTTTAGTTACTTCACAGATGTGGATGAATGATGTGAAATATAATCAAGTGTTGAATGAGACTTTAGTTCCACCTGGAGTAAATCCACAAGCTACCCTGCAGTATACAAAGTCATTCAAACTAGCTGCACCTTCACCAGCTTTGAGAACACTTTCATGATCAATCATTATAAAACATATCATATATATTATTCTGAAATGGACCAATCTGCACAACGACTACTTTTACTGTCGCTACTTTCACTATATTTTGATGAGAATACTTTTCTACTTTCACTTGAGGAACATTTTGAATGCAGGACTTTTACTGAAACAGAGTATTCCTACACTCTGGTACTTCTACTTTTACTAAGTACAAGATCTGAGTACTTATAATTTCACTACAAGATCTGAGTACTTGTACTTTTACTCAAGTACAATATCTGAGTACTTATACTTTTACTCAAGTACAATATCTGAGTACTTATTCCACCTCTGGTAGTGTATTAGTCTGAATTGTAGCCACAAAATCACGCAGAGCTGCATAAAAATAGACTCACAAAGGTAACTAATATTTACAAATGTGTACAATGATTTGTAGGTAATTTTGACTATTCAAGACACCTGACTTATACATCTTCAAAGGAAGACTGTGTTCATTCTACAATTACATGGGATTAAAGCAAAATGTAGTTTTACTTGTATAATACTTCAATTTTATATAAAAGACAGTTTGTTTTCATCTGTTTTCAAATAAACAAAGTCTTGGCTTTCAGAATATTAAACTTGTTTCGGCAAATTCAGATGATAAATACAACTTTGAAGCTTCGGCATAATTACAAGCAGAGAACTGACTAATGTAACATCACAGCAAGCATAACAACAGCCGGTGTTTCTTGTGAGTGTTTCCCCGTAACACAAACGCAAAAATACACAAACACACTCGCCAGCTTCCCCCAGACCAGTAATACAAACGAAAATGTGTCTTCGCGTCAATGTGACTGATTTCGATAGATCAAGTCACATTTGGTTTAGGCACGAAACATACTACCAGTAGAAATACATTGCTTTCAAAATCGCTCTGTGTCGAATCAATAGATTATATTTCGTGACTATAACACGAAATGCCGTGAGTGCTTCATCCTCTGAACACCACAGGATGGCGACTGTAACGCACATAACATAGGTACGCTCCTCTGAAATGATTGTCCCCTGCAATTATTATTATCCCTCAATCGAGTTCGCTATTCAGCTAGCTAACGTTAGCTTAAACAAACGTAACATGCAACGTTAGCCTAATCTAAAATGCTCTACGACGGCGTACCTTTCATGTGGCTCGTCAGCGCAGACTCTCGCATCGTTATTTTTGCAAACTTTGCAGGAGGCTACTCGTGGGCTTGACCCTCGTCTTAGCCATGGCTTGTATTTGTCTTCTGCTAGCCAACGCTCGTTGAAACTGCAACCTCCTGGCACACAGTCAGTCATCTATCACTCTCATCAGAATGCCCAGGTCACACGTAACACAAACACTTGCAGGTCGCTCGCATAGCGCGGGAAGGCCGCAGCAGAACTGTTTTATGTAGAAGCGAAGCAATTCTTTTCTTTTAATCTAAAAAGCGAACTATTCAGTCAGACAGCAATTTATTGTAAAAGTAAAGCATTTACATTTTCAAGCACTTTCTAAATTTCAAGCACCATTCCCAAAATTCAAGCACTTTCCCAACCTTGAAAACACCACGTCAAATGTCAAGCATTTTCAAGGATTTCAAGCACCCGTACGAACCCTGCATTCAAAGCTTTATAAACCAGCAGCAGTATTTTTGAAATCTATTCTTTGACACACAGGAAGCCAGTGTAAAGACTTCAGAACAGGAGTGATGTGATCCACTTTCTTAGTGTTAGTGAGGACTCGAACAGCCGTTCTGAATCAGCTGCAGCTTCCTAATAGATTTTTTAGTGAGACCTGTGAAGACACCATTACAGTAGTCGAGTCTACTGAAGATAAAAGCATGGACAAGTTTTTCCAAATCCTGCTGTGACATTAGTCTTTTAATCCTAGATATATTCTTTAGGTGATAGTAGGCTGATTTAGTAACTGTTTTAATGTGACTGTTGAAACTCAGGTCAGAGTCCATGACTACACCTAGATTTCTGGCTTTATCTGTTGTTTTGAACATTGCAGACTGAAGCTCAGCGCTAACTTTTATATGTTCTGCCTTGGCTCCAAAAACCATTACCTCAGTTTTATCTTTGTTTAATTGGAGAAAGTTCTGACACATCCAGTCATTGATTTGTTCAATGTACTTACTCAGTGTTTGAATTGGAGCATAGTCTTCTGGTGAAATTGTTACGTACATTTGTGTGTCATCCGCATAGCTATGGTAACTTATTTTGTTGTTCTTCATTATCTGAGCCAGTGGTAGCATGTAGATGTTAAAGAGAAGAGGCCCCAAGATGGAGCCTTGAGGTACCCCACATGTCATATTTGTCAACTCCGATGTGTATTTACCTATAGAAACAAAGTTGTTTCTGTCCTTTAAGTAGGATTCAAACCAATTTAGAACTGTTTCCGAAAGTCCCCCTTTAATGTAGCTTAAAGGTTTCTTGAGAACTGCCCGTTCACTTTTGTAAGCTACAAGCAGAGACACTAATAGACATCAGTGACTAATGCTTGATGAGTTGGTGTTGTTGATACTTGTATTTGCATAGTTGTGCTGCAAATGTTTGGTCATACATACCTGTTTGGCTGGAAGGAGATGTTGTCGTATCCTGTCACCTCACAGAGGTCCCTCTCCAGCTGTTTGAAGAGCTTCTGATAGCCTTCAGCCTGATCCAGAGGCACGAAGGGGTGGAGGTTGGCAAACTCCCTCCAGGTGATGGGCTAAAGAAGAGAGGACAGCAGTGAGCGGGGGGCACGCCCTTCCTAAAACAACTTTATGATAAGCCTGAAGGAGGAAGGCCATGAGAAATGACTTTGGGAAACACCAAATAGGGTGCCCATGGGAGCAGAGTTTCCTGACAAACTACCTCATTTTAGTTTTTAAGATATCTACGTGACATTATGTGACTTCTATAACTCACCATGAGCTCTGAAGAGCTGTTGAGCTTCATGGTGCAGGACCCCTGAAGAATAAAAACAACATTAAACACCACATCACTTTATAATATACATGTATGTAAAACGGAATATTTTGTCTGACATCAGGCAGTACTAACCAGTGGGATCATACTGTGCACCAGGGAGATGTCCTTGTTCTCCAGACGCTTCATGTATCTCACAATGTTGGTCTCGGAGTGATAACTGTGGACAAGATTAACCAGAAGGATAATTAACTGAGAACATTTTACTTCCAACAGTTGGTATGTCACTTAATAATTGCAAAATTGACAGAAATAACCTGCAAGGAAAGTGCATTAATAGGAAGTTTGACTAGCTTTATTCAAGGATGTTACAGTCATTATGTTTAAGAATTAACACATTAGAAACTGTTACCAGTCTGCATGTATTGCACTAATAAAGATAGTATGCCCACTTTAAGAAGCCCAGAGAGATGCCCTTGTTGCCACGAAAGCTTGTATTGCTAAAAACCCATTTCTACTACAGATTCAACTTGCTTAAAACACACGTGTTTTCTTCAAATATTCAATTATCTTGAAGGATTTGGCATAAATACTTAGACCGGCTGCATGTTTATTACAGACAGTAGGGGCTTATTACATGACTTTTGTTTGAAAATGTAAATGTTTTTACTATAACATCATATACTTGTTTTAGTATGCAACAAGTACAGGAGGTTGTCATTCATGCGATAAGTATGAAAAGAGCTCTATATTTCTGTCTGTTATCTAATGTGGTGATTTGGTGTAGAGTGCAGCTGTGTTCGAAGCAGACAATCAAATGGAAATTATGATTATGAGCACAGCAGGTCATAAAGACATGCATGCAGTTTGTTAGCATTGACATAGTATTATATTATGTGCTATGGGGTTTCAATTTAACCGAGAATACCAACCTGTTAAAGACCTGGTGCGTCAGATACTTGCTCGTTCTCTTGAAAGGACTTCCCAAGATCCCCTTCACCCGCTCACCCATCTTCTCAGCAATCAGCTCCTGAAAGATTGAAGCAGGTGGTTTTAAATGTTAAAGCTATAAACAGCAATCCCTATTCAACCTCAAGCAAGAACTCATTGAACTGTAATCAAAACTATTAAAGATATAAATAAGTGGATAACATACAGCTGAAGATTCACAGCCAAAGACCCAGAGCAAGTCGTCCAAGTCCTTCTCAGTCACCGTCTCATCCAGAGAGACCCCCACCTGTTAAAGAGAAACATTTTAACAGCATGCTTACATTTAATCAACCACTGCCTAAAGTCTTATGATATATTTTAAATACATTAGGTAATTGTGGGAAAGTGGATTATAAACATTGAGTTTTACCAACTTTTCACAAAAACTAAATGTTTTCGATGTTGTTAAAGAGGTTCCTGGTTTTCAATTTGCCAGCTGTTTTTTTCTTTTTGTGTATGAGCTTGTTGCAGGTATGGATGTTGTTGTTGGTTTTTTCTCTTTTGGTTGTATCATCACTTTTTGGGGGAGGTTTCATGTAGTTGTATTAATGTGTGGTGCTGCACTTCGGTGCTACAGCTATTGCAAAACATTGCTTATAAATACTATCCAAGAAAAATTCCACCCAGTAAAAAAAGTGCACGCGGTTTCAAGGTTGTTCTCACCACTCCATCAGTGAAGACTCTCAGGTTTATCTCCCTCTGCGCAGCTCTCTCAAAGATGTCTTTGGCTGCAACACTGCAGGTAATCTTTAGAGTGTCGAAGAATATTTCGCTGTGCAGCCGGTGTCCCGCTCTCTTCAGACCTGAAACAAAGAATGAGGGTAAACAGTTACACATGTGCATTTTTTGGATGCATAAATACCAGGATAAATATGTGTTTATCTATTATTTATATGTTCCTTATTATTGGTCTATCATTGTATAATATATCCACTAAGTGTCTGATCTGTGAAAATGATGCATCTCGCCACAAATTAATAACTTGCAGTTACAAGGATGGCACTATACTTTCGGTATGAAATTATCCTGGTGCTTCATCAATAAAAGCTTGATTTGAATAACAAAAAATATATACTGTACCTTCAGCTAGGATCAGAGCAGCGTTGTGTGTCCTCTCAGCAATGTGTTTGAGTCCCTGAGGACCGTGATACACTGCGAACATCGCAGCCATGTTGGCCAGCAGAGCCTAAAGTCACAGGTTAAACGACAGGGATGAAAATGTTATTTCAAAGAAAAAAGCACAAAGTTTCAAATAAAACAAAACCCACAGTCTCCCATAATGTCTGTTCCAAAACACTTATTACTCACTTTTTTTTATCTTTATGTTCAATAATAAGAGCAAGTCCAAATGTGAGTGTGGTCCTACCTGTGCAGTGCAGATGTTGCTGGTTGCTTTGTCTCTGCGAATGTGCTGCTCTCTGGTCTGCAAAGCAAGCCGGTACACCTCTTTACCAGCCGCATCCCTATAAATTAAATAGGTTTATTCCCAAAGTAAGATATTAAGGTTCCTCCTCAAGTTTTATTGTCGGTACAATAATCGTCTCACTATAAAATGTGTATTTTGATGGAAGAGTGTCTTTCCTCACCTAGTGACTCCAACCATTCTGCCGGGCATCATCCGGATCAGGCTGTCTTTAACAGCGAAGAAGGCAGCGTGGGGGCCCCCGTAGCAGAGAGGAACTCCAAACCTCTGGGAGCTTCCAAGTGCGATATCAACACCAAACTCCCCGGGGGGGCGCAGGACGCAGAGGGCCAACAGATCTGTGGCACAGCATGCCAGAGCCTGCACAGGGAGAGGACCAGGTTACTACCGAGTCAATTCATATAGTTTCTACTCAGATATACACAGAATAGCACTTTTTGTGAAGGAATGGTCACACCAAATCTTTCTTATCAACACATCTCACGTTTCTATTAAAGTTGCAGAAAGTCAGTTCTTTGGTGTAAAAAACACTACAGTGTCTTCAGATAAAACTTTAGGCAGTGCTGCTGACAAAATGGAATCTAGGACGTGCAATGTCGTGCATTGCATTACTTCCTTGTTACAGCTTAAGAATGAAGCGACACAGAAGGTTTCTTCGAGTGTGTACTTCCCTTTTGGAATAAAAATAATCACCAACTTACTGAGTAGCCTGAAATCAGATCCATAATGTTTTACAAAATGTTTGTGGCAAAAGCTATCTTACTCCTCCCTTGTGCGCCCTGTCCACTAGTTCTGTGAAGTCTTCCACCCTGCCATCAGTGTCTGGATACTGGAAGAGCACACCACTAATATCCTTCCCACTGAAGTCCATTTCATGGGGCAGCTTCAGGATGGTTTTCACCCCGATGTAGCTGAAAGATGAAAGTGAAAACTTAGAGGGGTGCTAAGAAATATGCATATACATAGTGGTAGAACAGGGGGCACCTAAAAAGAGAAAGCTATCTGGAATAGCCTTTCTGTTTTCATACAAGAATAAATTCATGTTTCCTGTTTACCCAAATTGATTTATTTATGTAGAGCTCATACATTTTGTTCATATGTAATACGTACTTGGCTCTGGTCTGCACCACTGCAATGGTCTGTGGATGGCAGCGTGGGTCAATGTAGAAGGTTCTTCTTTTGTTCTGTCTGTTAATATTAAAACACAATTTACTCGTCAGATATATACATGTTTATGAATAAAAAAATGCATGCATTAGCTGAGCTTCTTGGCAAAGAGTTGGTGTTCAGCTTGTTTATACCTGTGGCACAGCTGCATTGCCTCAGCTGCAGCCGTTCCCTCGTCCAACAGGGATGCGTTGGCAACGGGCATGCCTGTGATGTCACAGATCATGGTCTGGTAGTTGAGGAGCGACTCCAGGCGACCTTGGGCAACTTCCGGTTGGTAGGGTGTGTACTGAGTCACCCTGAGGACAAGAGAGGCACAACAAAAACAACAAAGTGAGTCTGGGCACGAAGACAAATGCAGAAAGTTGGTGGTATTCAAGCACCCGAAACGGGAAGATTTTGGTAAAACCTTGAGCAAGGATGGCTGATTTGGATTTGTGCAAAAGAAAATTGTGTTAAGCAGAAAAGAATCACATCATTAGAGATCATGTGATTCACCATGCTTCCTATTACGGCACATTACTCTGCAGCACTAAAATTAGGCTTTAAATGAGAAAGCAAACCATAGGAATAAACATTAATAGTTGTCACTAAGTGGAAACAAGCTCCCTGCCCTTTCAAATAGCCATAGTGTTCTGCTAAGAGAGCGTCGAAGATGTTCACTCACCAGCCTGAATTCTCCAGGAGATTCCTCTGGATGGGCGGCGGTACGGAGCAGCTGTAGTAGCCCATGCCGATGTAGGACCTCCATACTTTATTCTGTGAAGCGATCTTCTGTAGAGTGTCCAGAATCTCATTCTCACCTGTAAAAAAAATGCAATTTGTCATTTGAATACACTATTTGGCTTTGCATCTCTGATTTATTGGGCAACATAGGTCAATTTAATTTAAAAAGTGTATTTCCTACTGCTCATTAGATAGCCATAAAAGGACATACCAATATTGGATTACTTGGGACCCAGGCGCATTTCGTCAAATCCATCATATTAAACAAAACCAAACATTCCTTTGTGATTCCTCTTTCTATCTAATATATTATAGATTTCTAGACATAAAGATGTCAACCTCCAACTAAATATATAGTTTCAACATATCACCAGAAAAGAAACCTAACAATAAAAACATACGAAGAGATAACAATGTGCATTCAAGACATTTTTATCGAGTACACCCATGGTTTCTTTCCCAGTGACCAGTTATTTATCTTCATTCCCCGGTGCTGTGAGGAAGCTCGGCAAATGCACAACCAGCCTGAGATTCCTCTGGCCTTCCTGGCTGCTTAGCAACTCCAAGGAATGGACAATACCGCCGTCTGAACCGAGAGCCCTAACTACTCCCGTTTTAGGAGGAAAAAAAGACACCTTTGAGTCTTTGCTGGTGGTGAGAGGGATTGTAGCCATTATAAGTCAATATTTACAGCTTCTTCCTAACGATATTGCGCAATCCAAAATAATGATAAACCATTATCTACAGGTTCAGGGGGAGTGTGGATTTTGTGTTTGTGAGTTTCAGTATAGAGGACTGTTTTCCCATGATCCCAGAGTTCTACAGGGCAGCAAAAAAGCCTGCACATCCAGGAGGACTATTGTTGGGGAGAGAATCCCTCGCTGGCTTTGCAAACTGAAGCCCTCCAAAGCTGAACAAGCAGAAAACCAGCTCTGCCTCCACTTTGTTCCTTCAGTACGGCTTGTTGTATTATGAAAGTATTATGTATGAGGTGATATAGAGAGTAGGTGAGGATTTTTTACTTCTGTACTTTCACAACAACAGTTTCTAAATGTGTGCTTTTGGTGTAAAGCTGACAAATGATCTCTATTGTCAAATCAATGCGGCACGTGTATGGATGCAGTCCTGCAAGTGAGTCATGTCAGCATTTATTTGTTGTGGACTATCACACAAAAGGTTACATTAGATAGAATATGTACATTTTACATAGCCGGAAAAATGAATATGTACAATTGATCAACTGAAAAATCTATCTAAAAAATGTGTTATACAATTAATAATGTAAAGTTGCTTAAAATTGTGTTTGTTTCAAATAAACCGTGATTATAAAGCAAATACATTTAGTTCGGTATAATATTAGTAGTAGTCTCATGTAAACCAATATAAATGGAACAACATTCATTGCATAGCACATCAATGTTTGTTTTGAATGTGATATATGTGGGATATCGTGAGAAATACTGAGAGGTTGATTTCATCCGTACAGACAATCTCTAAATGATGTTCTCTTGCACAACTACACAAAATGACAGCGCCAGTTCAGCAAATTAACATAAGCCTCCCTCAAAGGAGGAATCTATCCCCTTTTGGAAATGCATAATAGTCACGTAGTCATTCATAATGTATTCAGCTTCCACAAAGGCTCTCAACTACCAGAAGCTAATTTGATATGCTACTAGAGCTAATTTACTTCTCATTAAAAATCACTGCTGAACATCTTCAAAAGTCCCCTGTGATAGAACCGCCTCGTTCTCAGTTTCTAGCTTGTGTTCTTAAAAAGGGGAAATAACGAAACTCGGTTTACTGGAAAAAATACTGTGTATCCAGGGCTAACACATTATTGCATACGAGAACAAGAAAGGAAAAAAAACACATCCAGGCGAATCCTTATGCAAAAGTCACCTTATTAGGAACCCCCTCGGCTGTGATGTAATGTGAACGCTATAACCAGATTGAACTGGACTTGGGACCGGAGCGTCAAGGCTAAAGTTTACACTCCAGTTGCCATCCTATGAGCATCGGCTTCCCAACAGGAGATTGGTGCAGCTCGCCGAGTTTCGCAAAAACAACTCCAAATATGTTCAAAGGAAGACTTAACAGGGACGAGCGCTCCACGGCACACAATAGCTGCAGCCTACATTCCTGCCACTCACTTGGCTTCACCAAACTGCCCGTTTTATGTGGAACAACCTCCCCATGCAAAACAGATGTAGACACACTGTTTTTACATGCATTTAGATGATATAAAGCATTTTAAATCGGGTTTGGCACAAATGCGTCGAGGTTTAACCAGCAGCCTTTCGTCGTTATGATGACAGAGATATACTACATACATTCAAATGAAGGTAAACTTACAGATTGGATCATCCATTTTCATAGTCCGCTTGATACGGATGGAAGATGGAACTGTGTTTTCGATCAACTGGGTGATCGACTGCGAGAAAAACATGATATAATCAATAAAAACGCGCAAAACATGGCTATGAAAACAGAATTATATCAATACAATGCACAAAGAAAATGCTTTAACATTAGAATGTTGTTTTAATGAAAATGAAATCGTGTTTTTGTGCAAGATTTCGGGATTAATGTGTAGCCCAAATCGTACCTCGAGTCCCAGAGCATCCAGCATTTCTCTCTTCTCCCTCTCACCTGGACCAATATGCCTCTCTGCAAAGTCATCATGCCTGGGTAAGAGTCTCTCGATCTGCCTGGAGGAGACGGCCGCAGAGGTCCTCAGACCCCGGGCTGCTGTCGGGAGGCATGCCCTGCTGTTTGGGACCCTGCACCGAAGTTTACAAACCACGCGGCTCTTGTCACTCAGATGCCTGCACGGTGCGCTGGGATTCACCGACTTGGCTAAGAAGATCCCCCAGGACTTGGCGCAGCTCTGCATCTTTAAATCACTTCGCAAGACAAGTGTGCAGAGACTGGTGGAGCCTTTTCTTTACCCCTACTGAGACGGATGCAAAGCCTGCAGGAGACACTGCCAACTCCCAGTTCAAACTGGAGAGTTTATACCACTGCACAGTTACACAAGAGCGGACCAATCAGAGCGCAGACGCTGCGTGACGCAGTGACGAGCCCCGGTAAACAGCTGCTGAACTTTCTCACGTGCCCACTGAGCAAGAGAGGGGAAAGTTGTATGACTCCACAGATATTTCAGGAGAAAGTTGCAATTTCAAAATCCAAGCTGAGCCTTCGCAGACTTTAGTCTTCGTCAAGGTGTGCTCAGTGATAATATGTGAGGGCAAGAGTCTGCAAGTATATGAGAGGAGACCTCCAGAGGGCTCCTTATTTACAACTACCCAAAAATACATATTGACTGCAAGTAAGCAGCTCTGAATTCAGATTTGACAATTCACAAAGCATCTTGGATTAACCCAGTGAAACCCAGGAGGAAAAATACCTATGACAAAAAAAAATCATAAATTTGAAAATTATTGATATGAAAATAATATGCTTTAGTACAGTGCAAGTCTGGGTCCCTGTGTTTCATTCAAGCTTGGCTCGGTGTGTGTGTGTGTGTGTGTGTGTGTGTGTGTGTGTGTGTGTGTGTGTGTGTGTGTGTGTGTGTGTGTGTGTGTGTGTGTGTGTGTGTGTGTGTGTGTGTGTGTGTGTGTGTGGTGTGTGTGTGGTAGTGTGTGCGCCTTGTGTGTGTGTGGCCGTGTGTGCGTGTGTGTGCGTGTGTGCGTGTGTGGATGGCGAGAGAAGAGAGAGAGAGAGAGAGAGCGAGAGCGCTCGGATAGAGACGGAGACGCGCGCGCTCGCGCGCGGCGAGAGACGATACGCTCGCGCGTAGCGAGCGAGATCTCGCTGAGCCTCTCTCTCGCTCTCTCTCTCTCCTCCCTCTCTCTCTCTCTCTCTCCCTCTCATCTCCTCTCTCTCCTCTCTCTTCGCCGATATTTTCGCGGTTCCGGTTCTATCGTTGTTTTACCTTCTGGTGGCTAAGCGAGCTAACGTCTAATAAAGAGCATTTTTCATGAGATGAACTCAAAGATCTAAAACATTTTCTATATACACACAAAATAACCATTTCTCTCAAATATTGTTCACAAATCTGAAAAAATCTGTGATAGTGAGCACTTCTCCTTTGCCGAGATAATCCATCCCACCTCACAGGTGTGCATGCCCGGCGCCGTGGGAGGGCCAGGGAGGGCCAGGCCCTCCCATTTGACATTCCTGCCCTCCCCCAATAAACACGTTTTTTAATATTTATAAAAATTTAAAAATATATAAATTTGATTTTTTAAATTATAAATAAACTGTGAACTTTTATGCTACGATGTATGTGATGTCAGAACAAAAACAAAAAATCGCAGGCTACGTCAAATAAATGCATGTGTCTGTTGTGATTCGTCCCCATTTAGACCAATCACAGCGTCACACTCTGCCGCCTATTCTGGATTTGTTTATTGTGCATTCTGTAGACTCCCATTTCTGTTTGAATTACAAAATGGACATAACAAATTGTCTTAAAAGGTCTAAGGATTTATTAAAACGAAATAGCGATGAAAGAACTGCAGATGGTGCTGCTGGCGACCCTGCACCTGCCGTTGCAGCAGCACGCCTTAATGTCACAAGCTTGACCTCGGCAAACCCCACGGCTGAGTTAGCGATGATCTTGGGAAACAAATAAGGAAATTAGTACTTTGGTGCAGATCAGCTGGCACGGAGCCGTTATTACGTGTCAGCTGTCGTTGATATTATAGCTTTTTTAGCTGTCAACCAACTCCCACTCAGAGGTGACTCGAGTCACTCCACAGCATGTCCGAGTGCAGTGCATAGGAACATAAACCATGCCCAAGGCGTTCATCGTCTCCGTCTCTACTATTTCTCTCCGAGTGCAGCGATGAGGAAGCTGCCATCCGTAACCAGTGTGCCTTGCTCGTGATTTACCAGTGTCTGTGCTGCCACGCACACAATGTTTCAAAGTGGTTGCTATGTTGCCCTTTATTTGTGTATGTTTGCGATAAGTGTGCGTCTTTACGCAATGCTGTTGGCCTTGCTGTTTGATATATATTGTGCCGCAGGCCCGCAGCACGTGACGGTTTTGTGTGCCCTCCCATGAAAATCATATGCCCTCCCTTTAGATTTGTTCTGGCGCCGGATCTGCAGGTGTGGCATATCAAGATGCTGATTAGACAGCATGATTATTGCACAGGTGTGCCTTAGGCTGGCCACAATAAAAGGTCACTCTAAAAATGTTCAGTTTTATCACACAGCACAATGCCACAGATGTCGCAAGTTTTGAGGGAGCGTGCAATTGGCATGCTGACAGCAGGAATGTCCACCAGAGCTGTTGCCCGTGAATTTAATGTTCATTTCTCTACCATAAGCCGTCTCCAAAGGCGTTTCAGAGAATTTGGCAGTACATCTAACCGGCCTCACAACCGCAGACCACGTGTAACCACACCAGCCCAGGACCTCCACATCCAGCATGTTCACCTCCAAGATCGTCTGAGACCAGCCACTCGGACAGCTGCTGCAACAATCGGTTTGCATAACCAAAGAATTTCTGCACAAACTGTCAGAAACCGTCTCAGGGAAGCTCATCTGCATGCTCGTCGTCCTCATCGGGGTCTCGACCTGACTCCGGTTCGTGCATCTGGACCCGGTGACGACATTACCTATTGACGCAGCAACCACTGTAAGTTATATTCTTGTTTAATTAGACTTCTCTGTTTCATTTATTCGACTCTGTATAAATTGTTATTGTAGCTTAAAACGGCTAAATCGCGTTTGAGAGATTTTAAATCTCAGATCTGCTCAGGCGAAACCTGCTTCACAGGTCTCAGCACTCAAGCCTGCATTAATATAGGCAGGGCCAGTCTATTGATAGCGTGAAGTACAACCGCGTGACTCAGTCATTTTTTACCTTAAAAAGCATTTAAATACCGCATTTAAAATCCGATGAACTCAGTGTGCATCTGGACCCGGTGACGACATTACCTATTGACGCAGCAACCACTGTAAGTTATATTCTTGTTTAATTAGACTTCTCTGTTTCATTTATTCGACTCTGTATAAATTGTTATTGTAGCTTAAACGGCTAAATCGCGTTTGAGAGATTTTAAATCTCAGATCTGCTCAGGCGAAACCTGCTTCACAGGTCTCAGCACTCAAGCCTGCATTAATATAGGCAGGGCCAGTCTATTGATAGCGTGAAGTACAACCGCGTGACTCAGTCATTTTTTACCTTAAAAAGCATTTAAATACCGCATTTAAAATCTGATGAACTCAGTGTGCATCTGGACCCGGTGACGACATTACCTATTGACGCAGCAACCACTGTAAGTTATATTCTTGTTTAATTAGACTTCTCTGTTTCATTTATTCGACTCTGTATAAATTGTTATTGTAGCTTAAACGGCTAAATCACGTTTGAGAGATTTTAAATCTCAGATCTGCTCAGGCAAAACCTGCTTCACAGGTCTCAGCACTCAATCCTGCATTAATATAGGCAGGGCCAGTCTATTGATAGCGTGAAGTACAACCGCGTGACTCAGTCATTTTTTACCTTAAAAAGCATTTAAATACCGCATTTAAAATCTGATGAACTCAGTGTGCATCTGGACCCGGTGACGACATTACCTATTGACGCAGCAACCACTGTAAGTTATATTCTTGTTTAATTAGGCTTCTCTGTTTCATTTATTCGACTCTGTATAAATTGTTATTGTAGCTTAAACGGCTAAATCGCGTTTGAGAGATTTTAAATCTCAGATCTGCTCAGGCGAAACCTGCTTCACAGGTCTCAGCACTCAAGCCTGCATTAATATAGGCAGGGCCAGTCTATTGATAGCGTGAAGTACAACCGCGTGACTCAGTCATTTTTTACCTTAAAAAGCATTTAAATATCGCATTTAAAATCTGATGAACTCAGTGTGCATCTGGACCCGGTGACGACATTACCTATTGACGCAGCAACCACTGTAAGTTATATTCTTGTTTAATTAGACTTCTCTGTTTCATTTATTCGACTCTGTATAAATTGTTATTGTAGCTTAAACGGCTAAATCACGTTTGAGAGATTTTAAATCTCAGATCTGCTCAGGCGAAACCTGCTTCACAGGTCTCAGCACTCAAGCCTGCATTAATATAGGCAGGGCCAGTCTATTGATAGCGTGAAGTACAACCGCGTGACTCAGTCATTTTTTACCTTAAAAAGCATTTAAATACCGCATTTAAAATCTGATGAACTCAGTGTGCATCTGGACCCGGTGACGACATTACCTATTGACGCAGCAACCACTGTAAGTTATATTCTTGTTTAATTAGACTTCACTGTTTCATTTATTCGACTCTGTATAAATTGTTATTGTAGCTTAAACGGCTAAATCGCGTTTGAGAGATTTTAAATCTCAGATCTGCTCAGGCGAAACCTGCTTCACAGGTCTCAGTACTCAAGCCTGCATTAATATAGGCAGGGCCAGTCTATTGATAGCGTGAAGTACAACCGCGTGACTCAGTAATTTTTTACCTTAAAAAGCATTTAAATACCGCATTTAAAATCTGATGAACTCAGTGTGCATCTGGACCCGGTGACGACATTACCTATTGACGCAGCAACCACTGTAAGTTATATTCTTGTTTAATTAGACTTCTCTGTTTCATTTATTCGACTCTGTATAAATTGTTATTGTAGCTTAAACGGCTAAATCGCGTTTGAGAGATTTTAAATCTCAGATCTGCTCAGGCGAAACCTGCTTCACAGGTCTCAGCACTCAAGCCTGCATTAATATAGGCAGGGCCAGTCTATTGATAGCGTGAAGTACAACCGCGTGACTCAGTCATTTTTTACCTTAAAAAGCATTTAAATACCGCATTTAAAATCTGATGAACTCAGTGTGCATCTGGACCCGGTGACGACATTACCTATTGACGCAGCAACCACTGTAAGTTATATTCTTGTTTAATTAGACTTCTCTGTTTCATTTATTCGACTCTGTATAAATTGTTATTGTAGCTTAAACGGCTAAATCGCGTTTGAGAGATTTTAAATCTCAGATCTGCTC